CTGTTAGTTCCTGGGGAAGACAGATAAACAATCAACTATTACAAACCGTGAATGGTAGAAGTAGACCCTTGGCATGGGAGTACATGGTATGGATACTCAATTCTGGGAGAGAAGGTAGAGGAAGATTCATAAAAGCATCAAATGGTATTGAACACTTAATATGTGTCAGGAAGGGTTCTAAATATTTTGTGATCATTTTAGAGACGAGGACAGTGAGGCAAAAATGGTTAAGTAACTTGGCTACAGATAAAAAGAATCATGGAGGCAGGATTTAAAATCAGGCCATTTGACTCCATGGTCCCTATTAATCACTACATTGTACTATCTATATATTCATAGATATAGTAGCGGTTATGTTGAATCTTGAAGTACAAACAATTATGACAGGGTAGAAAAATCAGCAGAGGAAGTGGCATGAATGAAAGGAAGCAGTTACAAAATAGCACGGCACACTAATCTGAAGTTGTTAGGACAGCTGGAACACAGGGTGCAAGGGACACTGTGGGGAGGAAAACAGGCTTGAGGTGCTATGTTTCTCTTCCCCTTTGGCAAAATCCCCATCTTGATCGCTGAAATGAGACTCAAGTCTGGGAAAATAGAGTGAATTTAAGAGATGGGGGTAGCTGGGTGAGCATCCTAGGATGCCAATGACCTCGACTCTGATCTTCTAATGGGGATAATGGGTAAAATGCGTGAAAGTTCCTAGTGTCATCTAGATAAATGTTGGCTGAATTTGAACGTGAAGCAGTTATTAGGCAAACTGGGGTCCTGGATACAAAATGTGTATGAAATACTCTTAAGGAAGGGAGAGGACAAGACCAGGCTGCTAAAAGCACTTAAGTTTGTTCATATGAGGAAAGTTTGAGCAATGGCAGCCTTATCGAAATTGCAGTGCTTGCTGTTAGAGTGAATTGTACAAGATGTCCTTAACTAAATATAACAGTAGATGGTTTATAATCTCTGCTGACAGGCCAAACATTCATTAAATATTCCCCCTAGCATTGTATGGCCATTGTACAATTTCAATGAAAAAAAAAAAATCTCCTGGAACAAGGTGTACAGAATGGGGACAGTACACCATCTGCTTGTGTGCATGCCAATAGGAAAATAAACATAAGAGTGGTAATGATCCAAAAAAGTTTTGTGCAGAAATACAAAATGGTACTTTACTTATATTTCCCTTAGCATGATTCTAATTGTGCTTCAATGATTAGCATAGGCTACAAGTAATCATGCTGCTGATCAGACTCCCTGCTGGCCTGGAGCAAGCATAGCAGTCTGAATGATCCGATGATTTTAACAGGGGTAGGCAAGATTTGTTTCAAATGTGTTTCCCTGCTTCTGGAGGACAAGTGGCTTCTCACTATGGTGACAATCAGGTTGCTAGGCTGGGCAAGGCCAAGTTTGGAAAAATGGTCCTCAAACAGATCTACTGAAATGAATGGTTTATGCTACCAGCAACTTCAAGTTCTGATTAATTTCCCATGAAATAATTGCTTGGAATACATCCAAGCAGTTCCTTTATTCATTGCTTCTTTGTCTTGCCGGCAGGAGGGTCAGTCAATACTGAAACATACAGTCTGAACCAAGCATATGTGATGCCCACTGCACAATACACCGAGGTCAGTAACAAAGGAATAAAAGAGTACGTCAGCTTCCAGGAGGTGAAAGGGAATACAAATTCACAGAAGACTTCCAGAGGCCCCAGGCCAAGGAGGTAGAAAGTTTCCATCCAATTAAAAAGGGGTTTTTGTTTTCTGAAGAAAAAAGGGGGGAGAAAAGTCTGATTTTAGATGAGTCATTCTGGTTTTGCAAACAGCTCTCAGCTAAAGCTTCCCATCTGCACTGTCTTGACGTGAAGTGCAGCCAAAGCCACAGTCAAAAGAGTGCATTAAATTTCACATTTAGAAGAAAATGATAATGATATACCATTACATTGTCTGAACAATCCAAGCTTACCCAGTCATCAGCTACCTATGCTGTTACTTAGCTGAGGCTGATGAGAGAGACTTAGCTAAGCGTTTCAAAGAGGAAAGAGGGCTGGCTGCTGTGATATTGGAACAAGAATGCGGCAAACAATATATAATTTTGGTTTTGGTAAAATAACATAAAATTTGCTATTTTATTTTAACCATTTTTAAGTATACAAGTCGGTAGCATTGAGTATATTGACAATATTGTACTACGCTTACCACTATCCACTTTCAAAACATTTTCATCACCCCAAACAGAATCTCTGGAAACATTAAGCAATAATAACTCCCCATTCCCCCCATCCCTGTCCCCATAAACGCTAATCTACTTTCTGTCTCTATGAATTTGCCTATTCTAGGTATTTCATGTAAACAGAATCATACAATATTGGTCCTTTTGTGCCTGGCTTATTTCACTTAGCCTAAGTTTTCAAGGTTCATCCATGTTGTAGCACATGTCAGAACTTCATCCCTTTCTGGCTGAATAATATTCCATTGTATAGATATACCATTTTGTTTATCCATTCACTTGTTGATAGACAGTTGGGTTGTTTCCATCTTTGGATACTGTGATAAAGCTGTAATGAACAC